GTAATGGGGGATTAAAGTTTCTATGAAACTACCATTTTTGAGACATTTTTGTAGTTTTAGCGCGAGCGAAGCCGCGGGTTCTGCTAGTATTATTATTATAAATATTGAAAATATTACATAAATATTTATGTTTATATAAATAGATATTAATTATAAACCACATTATTATTATGAACGGTGAAGTTTGTGTGAGTGTGCAGGTATATGTCCACTCCTTTAGGCGAAAACGGCTGGTTCGATTTCGATGCAAAGTACGCAGATAGACTGTAACCTGACATTTACTGATATATAAGTTTATTTGTTAAATTCTTCAATTTTTTAAATAAAGCTAGTTTTACCATTTGCCCATCTATACTAATATTATAAAGTGGCAGAGTTTTTGTTTGTTAGTTTGTTTTTTGAAAGAGCTAATCTCAGGCTACTAATTCGATTTGAAAAAATATTTTTAAGATAGCCTGCTTATTGAGGAAGGGTATAGGGTATATAATATCCCGGAAAAATGTAAGGTTCCCGTGGGATAGATTTACGATACGATTTTAGCAAAGCGAGTTGAGTGACAGTCGCTAGTGTAAATAAAAGATTTGTGCATCGAGTATGTCAAGTGCCTTTTTTACTCTGCAGAAGGCTATGATATCCAATTATAATCTTACCCAAGAAGCTCTATAACATCTATCAATGAGATTATACAGTACAAAATCAGTGACCTGATTTAATTGTATGTTATATATGACGTGGGCTGAGCTGTAAACTCGCAACTTCACCTGCAGTAAATTACATTAAAAAGGTCATTTTTATTTTAGCTATATTTAAAGACTCGCTCCGCTCGGGTTCGTCCCTACTTGTGTTCAAACGCTAGTATAGATTTTTCAGAAATGAGATATTTTCCCGCAATAAAAAGTATCCTATATGTTGACCCGGATAACCAGCTATCATCATAACAAATTTCATTAAAATCTCTCCAGTGGCTATTCTGTGATGCGGTAACAGACAGACAGACAAAAATTCTAAAAACTATAGATTCGGCCTCTGTATCGATAATAATGTCTATTTCAATAAGATTTTCCAAAAAATATTTCATGTGCAGATTCGGCTCAGTTTGAATTTTATTATGTGTATAGAAAACTAACCAAACTCTTGCTTAGACCTGGTCCGATAACATATTTTAGTCTTGTATGCATCATTCATAATAATGATTACGGTTTAATTTCGACCACCCGGTCAACACTTGTAATAATTAAAAGAAAAAAAGTTATGGGTTTTTACCGACTTCAAAAGAAGTAGGAGTTATTGAAGTATTGTTACGTTATATTTTCGACAATTTTGAACCGTTTTTTTTTTATTTTTTACCCAAAATAGTTTGTTGATAAGGATTGTTTCATTTAGAAGAAATACACACATAAAGATGGAAGTTTTAAGGAAACAAAAAGAAAACTACCTACATACATGTATTTAATATCTCTATATATATTATAGTAAAAGTGAAACTAATCGCTGTCTGTACATGGAAGATATTTGAGAAAAACTATTATTGGAGGTCTTTATTAACGCAATAGAACCCAAAACAATGCTATTTAAATTTTTGCCTGTTTGTCTGTTTGTCTGTGCGTTTGTCAGCGCTTATCTTAGAAACAGCTTAACCTAGGGACGAACCCGAGTCGCTAGTTCAAAATATTTTGCATAAGATTCATTCATATCTACTTTAGTTATAGACAGTTACATGTAATTGAAAGTAACAATATATAAGTTGTAAAATATTACATTTATGTACCATAACATTTTATGTAGGCATTAAATTCGAAAACGCTTGGAAATAGATAGACGAATTCCTGAAAGCTTTGTATGATCTTGCCACTTGATGTCTATTTTGATTTGTTACGCCGACTGAAGTAGTTACGAAGCAACCTACAAAGATGCATATGGATTGTTATTTATAACAATAATGTTTTATCTATACACTAGTGAATCTTCCTCACTTCGCTCGGGTTCGTCCCTAGGTATGTTTTGAAAAGATATAAATAGGTATTTAGTTCAATTAAGTTTTTTTTTCTTGTTTTTTTTTCCGATGTTTTAACAGATATTCTGCTATTCGGGGCGGAGACAAATCTAACAAATCAAAGACCAGGAAAATTGGTCTAGTAGTTCTCGAGTTATAAGTGTTGTAAGAAACCCGACTAGAGGCCAAATCTATAGTTTTTAGGATTTTTGTCTGTCTGTCTGTCTGTCTGTGACCGTACAACGAGAAAACCATTGGACAGATTTTGATAAAATTTGGTATGTGTAGGTTGTTTGGTAGTCGATAGTGTTTTATAAATATAACTCTTAAATTAAAAAATTAAAAAAACCCTAACGTAATAGCTTATACATTGAGACCATTTCAAATATAATAATAATTAATAATAATTTTATCCTAAACAGTATATATATGTATCTGAAGTACCGTACCTATATAAGCAAAGAATTGAGTATCTTAAAGGTGACGCTGTAGCATAAGACCAAGGTTACCATACCATTGCAATGTCGTTAAGTAACGGGATACTAAGTTTTAAATCGATTAGATCTAAGGAAGTTGTTCATATCCTTTAAAGGTCTAGAAAAGAGCTGATCGCCTGCAAATGGCAGAAATGACTTTCTAGATTTAGATATAGCTAACAACACTCGATCAAATCACCTGTCAAACGAAAAAAAATAAAATCGGTTCATCGGTTAGGGTGCTACGATGCCACAGACATACACACGTTAAACTTATTCTAACTCTCCTCTTTTTGCGTCGGAGGTTAAAAATAAGTTTTAATAAAGAGGAATGTCTATTTCAATAAGATTTTCCAAAAAATAATTCATGTACAGATTCGGCTCAGTTAGAATTTTATTATATGTATAGATTTGGACTTCGGGGCGAACACTACTTTTTGTTTATAGACATTTTCTTTCTCTTATGAAAAGAGACAAGTAACAAAAAAGTCATCATATAAATCCGTATATAATATTATGATTGTGAAAGTTTTTGAGTATAGATATTTGTTACTCTTTCAGGCCATAACGGCTGAACGGATATGGATGAAATTTGGCACAGGTATAGATTATAGTCTGGAATAACACATAGGCTACTTTTTATCCCGGAAAAATGTTCGGTTCCCGTGGGATAGGTTTGTTTTTGTTTTCCCAGAGGCGAACCCGAGCCTCTAATTTTAATATAAAAAAGTTTAAGATAAACCCGCCAAAGCTAGTAGTTCATAAAGCATGTAGGCGTCGTTCATGCAGAAGCGATAAAAGGAGTATGACGTCACTCTTCGATCCGTCCTTCGCCGACTTAGAATGTTGAAAAGGGGACGAGTTGTCTAACTTAAGTAGATTGAGTTTATTTATGTTTGTTTAATATGAAATACTTATTTATATATGAACCAGAACTGCCCGCGGCTCCGCCCGCGTTTATGACCAACAAATTCTTAGGTTTTACACATTAGTATTACATTGCAGTTTTTGTATTTTTTCTCAGAAATGAGATATTTTCCCGCGGTAAAACGTATCCTATATGTTGACCCGGATAACCAGCTATCACCATATCAAATTTCATCAAGATCTGTCAAGTGGTTTTCTCGTGATGCGGTAAGAGACAGACAGACAGACAAAAATTCTAAAAACTATAGATTCGGCCGCTGTATCGATAATAATGTCTATTGCAATAAGATTTTCCAAAAAATATTTAATGTACAGATTCGACTTAGTTAGAATTTAATTATATGTATAGACTATCGACTTGCCCACGTTTCGCTCATATAAACATACAAACTTTTACATTTAGGTATAATTGTAATCCAATAATATTCAAAACACACTGAAAATGAGTTTTTAATTTGGTGATATGATTAAAAAACAACTTATGTATTTAATTTCTCATGAACTCCTTTTCCCTTTTAAGTGCAAATTTAAATTTTGGTAAACCGAAAAAAAACATTAAACGTCATCATGAAAAATCACATTTCTCCATTGAATATAGATTAAATAGGTCCTCACAGTCAGGATCTAAATATCACTGTAGTTCCTACAAACTGAATCTATTGATACATAAAAAATATTAACAAACCAATGTCTAATCTTCATAACAAAGGTGTTTTACGTAAGAGGGAGCGAATATGGACTTACAGTTCAATAAAAGGAGAATGACGTCATGCTATTCAGATATTCTGGCAAAGTTCCTCCTACTTAGATTACAGATCCCGACCACTCCTGGTTCACATCTCGACCTTATAAGTTTAACTTACACTTTTCCATCATTCGCGTAGAATATTTATAAGAACGGTTAAAATATCATAATTAAAGACGTATAAAAATCAGTTGTTATAGCTTTTTAACGTGGTTTCACTTTTTAGTAGGTTCTAGTTTAATTTATACGTGGTTTTTATCAGTAATCAAATGGCAACCGGTTACACGCAATTGAGTGGTCAAGACAATATGCTCTCAGAAATAGTGCACTCTACTTCAGATATAGGTTGTGTTATCTGCTTAGATTTCAGTTTTGTAAACGCTTGGCATTTTGTAGCTTTTGTGCATATTTGTTCACACTACCAATACGTCGTGTACTTTTTCCTCTATTTTAGAATGTCTTGTTTAGAAATGTATATATATATATAAATGTTTTCGGTTTTTTGAAGTATAATGTGTATTTTAGACTAGTAGAATTGGCATTTAAAAATCAATCATTCTGTGTTAAAAACTCTTTCGGTAAATTGGTCGTTTGGACAAATAAGCACTGAGATGACGCTTTGTAGTTAGTGTTGTAGTATTGTAAAAATAATATAATTACTTTTATTTTTAGGGTAGAAGTAATTTTTTTAATGAATTTCGATTATTAATTGCATGTTTTATAAGCACGTTGAAATATCGGCTGTTTTTATCAATTCTTATCATATTTTATGATTTCAGATGTTTTCTTAATCGCCTGATTTGTTTTTTTTTATGTGTGTTGTGCATTGCATGCAGTCAGCAAGCGACGTCCACGACCAATGAAAAAATACAAGCCCTTGGTAAGCTTACACTGCTTTTTTTTTAATTTTGTATGGTTATACTGGATGGATTTTTGAGACGGGACAGTAAGGGCAGTTACCTTAACTGCTATAGTTACAGGAAAACGTTCCTAGGAGACCATCTAGGTATAACTTTTTGAGATATGTATTTTGATCTGCTTTCACAGATTTAGAAAAAAATGTACATTTAAGATTTTCTATTTAGGTAGGCACTTTTGCTTCTAGATACAGTAGGTATGCCACAAGACCGGCTTAACAAAAACTGAAAAATTTGTCTTATGTCCGCTGCATAAAATGCCTGCGTGTAATCCCTGTTTTGTGACTTACCGTAGTTTCTGTACCTACTCTTCGAGTTGATTAATCGTTTCTCCGTACAAAATGTATGGAAAAAGTTTTTGGCGATTTTGTTAGTTTAATCTGATTTACATCGCTTATATAATTTTTTAAATCGTTAATACAACTGTAAAAAAATACCTTTTACAGTATATAATTTGGTTTCATAGTTTAGGAGATAATAAAAATGACAATACACTTGAGTGAAATGACTGTGACGTACAAACAGACAGACAAGACAAAACAAAATTATAAGAGTCCCGTTTACTTTCGGCAACGAATAAAAATTACAAAAACTATTTTGCATAAAAAATTGTAGTTCAATATTTATCTACTAGATGGCGTTACTAGTACGCTGTATCGCGCAAGCGTTACGTTCACATTAAAACATATGTAGTGAGGTAGATTTGATCGTAGCATCTTGACCGAGGGAAGGTCAAGTCATCCCACTTCTGATGTTAAAATTTTTGAGATGCGTGCTTTTGAAGCACGTATAACAATAAAGATATACATATTTATAAAATTGAAAATCGATGTGTTTATTTATGTATGTTGAATGTTCCATATTATGGACTATGAACTCCAAAACGGCTGGAGCAATTATGATGAAATTTTCAGGCAATCTTCAGATTAGCCTAACGGGTGGTTCTGTGAGTTTAGTAGCGAATCCAAAACGGCTGGAGCAATTTTGATAAAATTTTCAGTCAATCTTCAGGTTAGCCTAACGGGTGGCTCTGTGAAGTTTAGTAGCGAATCCAAAACGGCTGGAGCAATTTTGATAAAATTTTCAGTCAATCTTCAGGTTAGCCTAACGGGTGGCTCTGTGAAGTTTAGTAGCGAATCCAAAACGGCTGGAGCAATTTTGATAAAATTTTCAGTCAATCTTCAGGTTAGCCTAACGGGTGGCTCTGTGAAGTTTAGTAGCGAATCCAAAACGGCTGGAGCAATTTTGATAAAAATTTTCAGTCAATCTTCAGGTTAGCCTAACGGGTGGCTCTGTGAAGTTTAGTAGCGAATCCAAAACGGCTGGAGCAATTTTGATAAAATTTTCAGTCAATCTTCAGGTTAGCCTAACGGGTGGCTCTGTGAAGTTTAGTAGCGAATCCAAAACGGCTGGAGCAATTTTGATGAAATTTTCAGGCAATCTTCAGATTAGCCTAACGGGTGGTTCTGTAAAGTTTAGTAGCGATCGGAAATTAAAACGCGGGCGAAGCCATGGGTATTGGATACTACTCGCCAGGTAGTGATTTGTTTTTAGATTCGTGGGGAAACCCCTTTGCCCGAGCGCGGGGTGTGTGGGACTTCTCGCGACAGTCTACCCACTAAAACCACCACGGTGATCCCTATCGCAAGAGACATGTCCATGACCGCGGGGTAATGCTAGTGCAAATTAAAGTAACAGAATGAGATCGAAGGATAACTTACAGGCTATCTATATAACAAAATAAACACTTCCAAATGTTTTTATTGGTTACTAGCAGAAACCGCGGTTTTGCTTGCGCTAAGACTACAGGAAAAAACAAACTGTTTGGCTTTATGTTATTAAAAATAAGTAATAAATTGACGGCTGTAATGATTTACAAATGTGTGAGTATGATTTTTACTCGCGCATCGAGGGTTCCGTATTGCTGAATATTGTGTTGTTTTACTAACATATTTACACATAAATATTTTTTTTACGTTTTAGCCATGCCCATATACTTTATTATCTATACTTATATTATAAAAAGGTAAAGTTTGTCAGTTTGTGACGTTGTAGGGGAAAAGAACTCCAAAAAGGTAGGTTTCATACAAACTTTCATCCCCTATTTTACCTCCTTATGGAACGAATTTCGAAAAATACTTAAACATTTATTTATTTAATTGTATTGAAGAGCATTAATACAAAGTATCAAGTAATTCTGATCATAAATATTTTTTTGGGTTGTATTATAACGTATTTTACCGTAGGAAAGAGATAATTACTCGCGATAAAAAGTAGCCTATGTCACTTTCCAGCCCTCCAACTATTTCCACACACAAAAATCACGCCAATACGGCACACTGTTTCGACGTGAAAGAAGGACAAACAAACAAACAAACATACACACTTTCACATTTATAATATGAGTATGGATTACATAAATATACGCCCCTTTCCACGTGCCTCTATAGAGTGTAAATAATGCATTTAACCGCGCGGACAGTGATACTTGTGTACATCGATCTCTTAAAGATGAGCATCACGTCCCAGCCCATTACACTCTCCTCTTATGAATTTGATCAAAAACTCATCAATCAATACTATATTTGAACTGTGGGAACTGTGATATACATAATATCTATTTAATCATATTTTTAAATATTCTAAAGTAGTCCTCTTACAAACAGACTGACTGATATTCGAGTTTAATTTGGCTATTACGGAGGTATACTTGATTCTCTACATAAACACATTTTTTCAAATAATAAATAATGCATCATTTGAACTGAATAGTTTGATCCTACAATGTCGTTATATTATCTAAAAATTCTTATTTTATACTTAATTTAAGTGGGTTTTTAAGGGCAAATTATTTTTTGTTTTTATGTTTGTTTGATTGGAGGCATTAATCTATGGAACTCTCTTTGTTCTTTTGAGAAAATCTTTGTGTATTTATTACTATACTAGCAGAACCCGCGGTTTCGCTCGCGTTAAAACTACAAAAAAACGTACACGCCCTGCGCCTGTCTACCTTGCCGTGTAGGATTTTCAAAGCATTACTTGACTCTGTCGGGGGATGATTTTGGAAAAACTGTGATGCACGTATCGCATAATTTGACGACACGTTTGGCTCAGTTTGTAGTGACCCTACTTGCTGCGCCAGCGGTTGCGGGTTCGAGTCCCGCTGGGGGCATTCATTTGTGTGATGAGCACGAATATTTGTACTCCAGTCATGGTTGTTTATATTTATAATATGTATGTATTTAAAAGTTATATATGTATGTAGTGTATCAACTATCTGGTACCCATAACACAAGCCTCGTAGATTACCATGGAACTAGATAGTGCTGTGTGTTAATGTCCTGAAAAAAAAAATTAATTGAAGAGTATGTGTATAAAATTTTTGAGTAAATCGACCCAGAGAATAAAAAGGTTCACAGAAATCTCGGCCTCCATTTCACCCTCTTATAAATGTTATTTCCAAAAACCCCTTTATTAGTAAATATCTAAACTTCACATAGACCACACCCTCCAAATTTTATGTCTCTAGGACCAGCGGTTTAGGCTATGCGTTAATACATCAGTCAGTCAGGACTTTGAATTTCATATATTACGAGTATATCTAATATATAAAATTTCCATGTCACAATGTTAGTTACCGTACTCCTCCGAAACGGCTTTACCGATTTTTACCAAATTTTATATGCGTATTCAGTAGGTCTGAGAATCGGCTACTATCTATTTTCCATACCCCTAAGTGATAAGGGTGGCCCACCCGAGCGGAGCGAGGGTGAGTCGCTAGTATTATGTAATTATTTGTTGAAGAACTCAAAACTTAAGAGCGGGTCAATAACGGACAAATAAACTACGTAACACATATTGAAGTATTATGTATAGTTTCGTATTTACGTATTATATAATAAGCTATAAATCGTTAACCCGACAGATGTAACTAAATTAAATTGAACCAACTATTAGACTAAACGAGTCTGAAGAATGTTGTTAGAAACAAAATGATTTTTGGGCTTTATAAAATGTATTGTTCACATCAATGTTTTAAAATAGATAGTGCAGTAAATTTTATATGTAAGACTTTGTATGGGTACTAGACTAGTATATATGTTATAAGATTTTTGATACTACTTTTGGTTCACTACTCCGCTCGCATAATATCATTTGGCTTTCGTTGCTTTATGGCAGATGACAAGTCTTAGAAGTCCCGAAGATTATATAAACAAAAAAAGAAAAACCTCAATAGTAATAACCTCTTTATGAAAAAGTGAAATGTTTTAGCAGATTTTGTATAGAAAAATTGTTTTTTAACAATTAATTAAGTAATGGAGTATACCTATTATTTTGATATATGTACATAGCAATAGATTATTACTTAGAATTCTATTAGCGTTTGAAAATATTCCCACCACCTATATCGACAGATAGACATTTATCGACGTGTGCAAAAAATGAATTGTTAATTGTTATTGATGAGTTCGTAGTTGTCTGCCGCCTCTGTACTCGCGTAATATGTAAACCAAAAATAGCCCATATTAAATAGAACTTTTGGATATCGTATCTTTCTATTACTTAGAACAAAATTTATGTATTTATATCCTAAGCATGCAAAATTAAACGTACAAACAAATTTTGCGTCTTTACAATAGTACCTATAGATATATTTTATATTATAGTTTCAGAAAATGCCTTAGATTATATTTACAATCTCAAAGTAAATAAATAAAAATTGATTGTGCCTGCCGCTTGAATTAAATTTTTAGTGATTACCGCTCTAAATATAGAAATATATTTTCGGGAATCGAACTCTTAAATGAACTATGAAGGTGATGAAGATGTTGTCCTACTGTTCCATCGAGGAGTTTAGAGCTGCAGATTTTTTTTTCCATGTCCTTCTATTTTAAGCACGGACATGGTTCCTCGAGATTCCGACCCTTTTAGGTCCGCTCTCGTGGACCTTCACCGAAATAAATATCCATAGGATATTAAAAAAAAACCTTTATTGGAACTAACTGAGAAGTTACATTATAGATTGTACAAAAATGACTACGTTAATGTAAAATTGTGATTTACCCATTAACGTCCATCTTTAAGAAATTTTGATAATGATGTAATCCAATTCCAATAAGTTCTTTAAAAGTATTTAGACATATTTTTGAACAGATGTGCTTATTTAAATATCTTCTGTGGTTCCAGGGCTCGGCAGATTCTAACTACTCGCAGCCATCCTCGGAACTGTCGCTGGACGAAGACAAAGAGACTCTGCGCCGAGAGAAGGAAGCGCAGGCTCTCTTACAGCTGGATAAGGCCCGGGTGTGTATTATATTTTTACCTAACACCCTTATTATTTCCCATGTGGTCATATACTTAACATTTTTTTTTGTATTTTTAAACTGTGGTTAGTAAAAGTAGTAAATAAGTTACTTATTTCACGACAAAAAAACCGACATGGAAATCGTAGGTGTAACACACTTCCTTTTCTTCACAAGACACTTCCGTTCACCTTCTTATGCGAAGCGTCTCAGATATAAGCTGTTTTCATTCCAAGCTTCATACAAAGCTGTTGAGCAGTTACAGTGTGTAGAAGTAACAAAGAAATACACACACAAACACACACACATACGCTCACACATTTACGCACGCACATTTTATTGCTAACAGTATACTTATGTGTTTGATACAGCAGGTTATAGTCTACATGATGTGTATTTTTCATCCAAATACATACATCCAGCCATTTCAGCGTGAAAAAGTACATACACACAAGCACACACAAACACTCGTACCTATAATTTCGACGACACGTTTGGCTCAGTTTGTAGTGACCCTACTTGCTGCGCCAGCGGTCGCGGGTTCGAGTCCTGCTGGGGTCATCATTCATTTGTGTGATGAGCATGAATGTTTGTACTCCAGTAATGGGTGTTTATATTTATAATATGTATGTATTTAAAGTTATATATGTATAATGTATTAACTATCTGGTATCCATAACACAAGCTTCGTAGCTTACCATTGAACTAGGTGGTGTTGTGTGTTAATGTCCTGACATATTTATTTATTATTTATTTATAATTATAGTGTAATTGTTGAGATAAATACTAACATGAAATAATATACAATGTTTAAGTCAAAACCTGTGGCGTTTGCGGTGCGTACGAACGTCGCGTACGATGGCACCTTGGACGACGACTCGCCCGTTCACGGCAGCGCCATATCCTTCGAAGTGCGGGAATTTCTCCACATCAAGGTTAGTATAATGTCCCCATAACCGAATTATTTAAGTCCTATGGAAACTCAATAACTATTTATTTTTTGACGACACGTCTGGCTAAGTTTGTAGTGGCCCTGTGATACTTGCTGCGCCAGCAGTCGCGGGTTTGAATCCCGCTGGGAGTATTCATTTCTGCGATGAGTGATGAGCACGAATGTTTGTACTCCAGTCATGGGTGTTTATATTTATAATGTTTATATATTTAAAATAATATATGTGTAGTATATCAACTATCTGGTATCCATAACACAAGCCTCGTGGCTTACCATGAATCTAGATGGTGATGTGTGCTAATGCCCCAACATATTTATATTTATTTATTTATAGCCCAACCTGGAATTTGATGGATCTATCTAATGATTCGTAGACCTAGTTAGATCAGTTTAGAAATCTAGCAACCTAACCTATATTTGCTCAGGTCTATAACCTAAAGTTTCTTCAGAAGTTTTTTTGAAATTGAAAAATTAATCTTATAGGATTTACTTGAATAGTGGTCACTGGTCACCTAGTGGTCGAAATTCGACTCCAAAACTGTATCTAAAAAATATTGATAACACTAACGCTCGTCAAAGAGTCAATAAAATTAGTTCACAATATACTAACAAATTGATTAATATAAAAAACATCCTTTGTTTTAAAGTCGGTTAAATATACTATCTATATAAACAGACAAAGAAAAAAAAGTTCGGTACCTTTTTCTCCTGTTTGGCAACCGGTTATCAATATAAAAATTGGAAAAAGTTGTTTTTATATAGATAGGTAAATTCTATTCATATAGGTATGTTTTTCAAAACCTATCTATGTATATTATAATAAAATTATGAGTCGAATCTGTATAATTAATATTTTTTGGAAAATCTTATTCAAATAGTCATTACTATTGATACAGAGGCCGAATCTATAGTTTTTAGGTTTTTTGTCTGTCTGTCTGGGAAAGTATCACGAGAAAACCGCTAGGCAGATTTTTGAAATTTGGTATACCAAATATATCATAATATAGGATACTTTTTACTGCGGGAAAATATTTCATCTTTGAGTAAATCATACTAAACGTTAAAACGTAACTATGGACGAACCCAAGCGGAGCGAGGATGAGTCGCTAGTTTTCAATAAAAATTATGATAGACGACCCGTTTGGCTCAGTTTGTAGTGACCCTACTGGCTGTGCCGGTGGTCGCGGGTTGGAGTCCCGCTGGGGGCATGTGTGATGAGCACGAATGTTTGTACTCCAGTCATGGGTGTTGATATATTTTATAATATGTATGTATTTAAAGTTATATATGTGTAGTGTATCAACTATCTGGTATCCATAACACAGGTCTCGTAGCTTACCATGGAACTAGATGGTGCTGTGTGTTAATGTCCCAACATAATTATTTATTTATGATTAAATTTCGACCACTCAACAAACACTAGTTCATATGAATCTCTCTTACTAATATATTCGTAAATCTAATATATATATTTGATTGAATTCCAGGAGAAGTACGACAACAACTGGTGGATCGGGCGTCTCGTGAAGGAGGGTTGCGACGTCGGCTTCATACCCTCACCCGTGAAGTTGGAGGCAGTTCGATCGGGGCTGACAACGCGCCGCTACCAACGCCCGCCCTCCACCGGGCCCCAACCCCTCCCCAGCCGAGGTAGCACCCCCCCCACGCCCGGTACGTCACGCCGATACATCAGGTCACTTCACGTCATCAACACGACATGTTTACTGGTTTTTGTTTGGGAAACCTATATACATATATTGTATATGTATATAGGATTCGTCTCGGCTTATTAAGAGCTTGGATTCGATTTATTTTATATTGGTTGTTAGTGTATCAAATAACAATTATTTTTTAATTATTGTTTTTTTTAGTATATACCCAAAAATACATTTCATTATTTTAGAAATGTATCAAATTAATCTATACTAATATTATAAAGAGGCAGAGTTTGTTTATTTGAACGCCCTAAACCTCAGCAACTATGAACTAATTCAATTTGAAAAATTATTTTTGTTTTAGATAGAGCCGTTTATTGTGGAAGTCTATCTATTTCACACTAACCGTTAAAACATATCTAAATCATACGTATGAAATATAATGTCGCTGATGAAAATGTATAAATTAAAAATCATTTTATTTCAATATAATATTTGACGTTCACTATTTAGTACGTCCGAGGACGCGGGTTCAGTTCCCACGTTGCAATGACGCTGTATCGTATGTAAACTCAAGATGTATGTATGTTTTATCTGCTACGAAGCTGTATGACGATAAAAAGAATGATATACATAAGTTTTTTTATGTAACGACTAACGACATCCTTATCACTCACTACTTTACCGTTTAATTAAATTATTTATTTACAAAATTAATATAAACTAATTTCAATTAAATCGATTTAACCAGTAAATTTGACGTGGCCTGTCAAATACCGATAAAACTTGTTCGTACAGTTTCACAACTGGGCACGGCAGCGCTTTTGCCAAGTTTTTTATATAAAATCAAATATTTCTATTCTCGTAATAAATAATGTAATCATTTAGTAATAAATTCTATTTAAAAAATAAGAACAAGTAATTGTTGGTACTGCTCGTAACACTGCTTTACTTTGGCACTATATAAAACAATATCTTGTCATTTATAGTAGAACAATCAAATTTACAAAAAGTACTCAGTGTAGTATCAGATATCATCTAAATAATCTAAATGCGTTATGCATTAAAGGCATATATTGTAAGAAATTTTATATTGTGTCAAGAATGAATACGTACAACGCAGTTTTATGTGAAACAATGTACATAAGGCCAATCTTCAATAACACATGCTATATTTGAGATCGTATATTTTGGTTATTAGTATAGAAATTCTAAGTTAATAACTTGTCTCCTTTGCTTTTTAGCTTTTTTTTATTATCGGATCTCATAAATCGAATGTCAACTGCTTTGTACCGTATAACCATACTAAAGCACTCATCACATTCATACACAAATCGGTGAAAGTTGTCTATTTCCTCGGTCTAAATATAAGCACTCATTCTTGACGTATTTTCAGATGTTCCCACGATTGATCGAGGTAAGACTACATCCAACCATTGACCAGGAAATGCTTCCAATTTTCACCCAAATATTATTAATTTGGCCTTGGTTTTTATTCAATTTATTCTTAACTGTTTATTAAATTTATTTTACTATAATATATACTTTGCTCGCCTTTACCATCTCATGCTCCATCTTTCTGTCCTTTTGGAATGCTCCGTTTATACTGTCAATTTGAAGTACAGAAAAACTGTAAACAGGGTGTTTCATATTATGTAATTTGATTATTTTTATTTAATATTGTTTTTGTAATTGTAATTTTTCAATAGATTCTCCTGTATGTGGTTTAATAATGTTGTAATAATCTATTGAATTTTTACTCAACAGGTACGTATTTGAACATGTAAATGGATGTCGATGTTGTCAAGTGTATTATGTATTTCATATTATTTTTACAATGAAGGTGATGGGTTATAAAATAAACAAAATATTAGAATAAACTCCTTTAAAATAGTTTTGTAGGGGTCAACTCAAATTGTTTAAATAAAAATTTGAAGGCATGCTCCCTGAGTTAAAGTCTATTTGCCCTGTAAAGTAGAGCGTCCCTTAATATAGAGCCAAGTATAAATTTCCATTTTATCTCTTAAACCCATATTTGTTAAATCCAATTAAGATTTAGATTTGGATATAAACATTTTATAATACATGAATAATATAAAATTTAAATCGACAATATCATCGAGATTATCGTTAAGATTATTTCACTAACAATTCAAATTAAATGAACATTAAATAGCTTGCAGTTCAATTTAAATTATTAAAAAATAAATATTTAATTTAAAAGTAAATATTTTAAATAATCGATAAAAATGAAAATATACTAGAAAAAACAACAAGTATATAGTAATTTCTAACTAACAATTTTACGTTACAGGTGAAGATTCAGATTCAGCCGGGCGAGGGCGCGGTGCCGGCGCTTTGCCTGCTAGTAAAGAAACGAAACGGAAACCCTTCTTTAAGAAACAGGAAGCCGGTTCACCCTACGATGTGGTACCTTCAATGCGCCCCGTCGTACTGGTCGGCCCTTCACTTAAGGGTTATGAGGTCACGGATATGATGCAAAAGGCATTGTTCGACTTTCTAAAAAGACGGTTTGAGGGAAGGTTGGTAACCTATTTTCCAAACCTGTAACAAATTGAATATCGTTTTACGCGTAAGATTCTTTACTTATTTTTTATAAATATAAATTAGAATAAGTAGTGCAAATTCGTCTAAAAGGCCGTGTCTAGCAATCGACAGGCATCCGCCGTGTGCTAAGAACGAACTGGTATTTCAGGATAATAATAACGCGTGTGATGGCGGACATATCGATAGCGAAGCGGTCGATACTGAACAACGCTTCGAAGCGAGCGATCGTGGAGCGCTCCAACTCGCGTTCCACTTGCCTCGTGGAAGTACAGGTATACTACTTATTGGTTTCGTCTTTACAGGATCATCATCACGCGGGTGACGGCAGATATATCTCTGGCGAAGCGTTCCTTCCTCAGTAATCAGCCTAAGAAACCAATTATGGACAGAACGAATTCAAGAAATAATTGCGTGGTTGAAGTTCAGGTTCGGTCGGTGATACTGTGGAATAGTTTATGTTATTTTCGTGGATGATATTTGTGTACTAATTAAATAACGGATTCATTCACATTTAGACATTGAATTTGTGTTATAATTTCTATAATGGCTTCGTAAAAAGTCCCTAAGTTTGGTTTGGCGGCTTAAACTTACTGGAAGCAACGCATGCAGCATTTGCATGCAGCATTTGGATTTGTTTATCACGTGACTAACATATTATTAATTAATGCATGACTAACCTCGATACTAGTTCGTAATTTGTTTTTATTTAACTTTGAATTTCCTGTTAGACGGAGATCGAGCGAATATTCGAACTCGCGCGGACACTACAGCTGGTGGTGCTGGACTGCGATACGATCAACCACCCGTCACAGCTCGTCAAAACTTCGTTAGCCCCCACCATCGTGTACTTAAAAATATCCAGTCCTAAGGTAATCTATTGTGACAAATTATTAAGTAGCGACCTGACTTTACTTCTTTATGATCCACGCTGCACTTCTCGTATGAAAAGTAGTCTATATGCCTTTTGATAGAGTCTTCTATAGACCATTATAAAATAGATTAAACCATTCTCTTCTGTCCTTGTGCAAGGAAATTTTTTTCACTATAAAAAAAATCTTTTATATTTCTCACATAAATTCTTATTAAATAATAGTCTCGGTAAGTTCTAAAGATTTGTAGGTACAAATGGACACACAATTTTTTTTTTATTTTTGTACTGTTTATGCGCTGGTATTGTTACTAGTATTGTAGCTAAATTTAATATATCGAATACTTATCAAACCGCGATATTTTGATTATTAATATAATATGAATTTTGTTATAATCTGTCCTCTTCTTTTTCATCTAACTTTGGTATTAGTGACCACAAGTCATGGAAACTGAGTTCGAGTTGTAAAAATAGAAGTATTAAAAACAACTTAATAGGGAGTTTTTAAATTAATTTCAGGTACTTCAACGGTTAATAAAGTCACGTGGGAAAGGACAGAGCAAGAACCTTTCAGTACAAATGGTGGCGGCTGAGAAATTGGCGCAATGTCCGCCGGAGATGTTTGATTTGATCTTGGACGAAAACCAACTGGAAGAAGCTTGCGAGCGTATTGCTGAATTTTTAGAGGTTTTATTTTTTTCTTTTCTTTTTTGCAATATTTTACCGAATTTCTTTTCAAATTATAGTTTTGATCCAAATTTTTAACCGTGCCTGTAAAGGAAAATCTCATTTATAAGGAAGCAATGATATTTTTTACTTAGACTATCCATGGATCTTATATTTTCGTATGTCAAGCTAATCGATGTCATCAGATAAAAACAGAATTTTCCTCAGTAGACAACAGCGTAAAGTTATCATAAATTCGACACATAAAAATACCTAAATGCAAACATGCGATATTAGTTAGTTCTCCGTTTTGTTATCACGCAGCAATAAAACACTGGTGATATAATCGATGTTGAAATAGTTTATAGGAGTGCAATAGGATCATTATCAATGTATTCCAATTTATTAAAATGTTTCCTTCGAGATATTTGTAGCAAACCGCTATCTATGGTAAATTTACTAATATAATTGTATCTCCAAACCGCAGGGTTACTGGGCGGCCACGCACCCGCCGCCCGCGGCGCCGAGCGCGCGCCCGCACGCCGCGCTGCCGCACTCGCACTCGCACCAGCAGCAGCACCACGCGCAGCCTGGTGAGCACATACAGACACACAGACAGATCTACAGACACTCTTTTATACATTGAGTTGATACATACACAAACGTACTTATGTATATTATTAACGTATTATTTTTTAATTTATCTAATGCAAAGTTTAAATGTGGAAAACGGTAATAACACGATTAGTTAGTATCCTATATAGCCTTTAATTACAATACGTTGTACAGATATGAAATATGTGTCTAAGGAGAATTATTATTACCTTGTATGTTTTTTTTTCAGAATGTTGTTTGAAATAGAAAATCTTGCTATTTTATTTTTCTTATTTACTTATTTCAATTTTTTATAGTAATATATAATAGAATTATATGATTAGGTTTCACGAGTCGAAGCCAAAGGCTGACTGAGTTCGTCTCAGGTATATATAAAAATATAGATGTCGTGCTGTATATCTATGACTTGTAGTTGTACTCTTCTCTTTAAATAAAATATTATTTTACAATGCTTAGAGACAATAAAAAAAATGTATCTAAAATCCATAACCTAATTCAAAAATATACATGTAACATTTTTTATCATAATTTTTTATATTTTATTCAGAGTGACATAAAACAGTAAAAGTACATAGCGTCGTATATATTTTAAATATTTCGTTAAAGTAAAACATAAATATAGAAAAAAATATTTTTTTTTGTCTTTTGTCAATCTATCCTGTTTTGTTTTTTTATTTGAATCAAATTCAATCAATCATTCAATTATTTTTTGTTAGGCTTAACGTTGTGGATTTTAGACTTAACTTATAACTTCAATATATTATCAGTCTAAAATGTTTATATATTTTGTATAGATAAACAAAATTTTGAAACATTGCCATTTAACTATCTTCCTTGCTTAACCGATACCCCTATTATACAAAAGAATACTAACATCATTAAATAAATATAAATAAATATTTTATTGTCGTGCATATTAATAATATAAACTAACTGCTCATTCTAACCTATCATTCTCTCTACCGAACCCCCCGCACACTCTGGAGGACATCGCGAGAGGTCCGATTCTTACAGCTACGAGCGAGGGAGAGGTAACTAACCCTTAACACTAAACTAGCATGTATTTATAAAACATTTTCATAGATATGTGCAAATATAATAAAAACTTGATAATTATTTTTTCATATTAGACCTAATAACTAAGTTACTTGTTATTTCTATTAATTTTATTTTAGTGCCACCGTGGTAGTATTACTATCACGTCGAAGTCATTAAAGCTTATAATATGAAAATAGTTCAAATACATTTAGAATAATAATAATAGTTTTATAGCCACTATTTCTCTAACCTGGTATCGCTAATCAATATTCACTTTCTTTCATTCATAACATTTTAAAAATATTCATATTAAATTTCCTGTGTATGAAACTACTCGTAGATCTACCCTAGTTCGATGTTCCTTAGATCTAGGCCTAGTTCAATGTTGTAGTATTTCAATGTTTGTTTTTGTACCGTTGCTGCTATCTGTTTACAAATTAATTTTAAAATTTAATAAAATGGTTAAGAAAAACAGAAACTTAGTATAAATCATTATAGTATCGCACAAATGTTTAGAAAATTCGGTTGTTACAGAAAGATAAAAAAAAATGTTATCCAAATACTTATTTCCATCCAAATGTAGTCTTTCTATAATAACCAAGTATGTGTACAAAATTTGCAATTCACTTTGTGCTTATTAGCATCATAGATTTTTCCCTATATTGTATTATAAATTCCCCACGACCCATCTCACGCCGCACTCACATCTGTTCATTTCAGTACAAGCGTCTGGACAAGCACATTAGCCTGCGAAGACCATATCCCAGTTCCATTAAAGCAGCCATCGTCGAAGAAACAGGTTGCGATTTTATAGGCTCCATGTTTGTGGGCTTTTAATCAGGGTGCCGCTTATACTAACATTCCGACGTCGCATCCCCTCTCATTGTTGTACTTATGTGATTGGACGTTACTAGATCTTTCGATTGTTATAAATTTAACGTTAAAGATTATGTTTCTAGTCCAAATATACAGAGTATAAAATAGTCAAATATTTTGTGCAATTCGAAAGATCTCAGTGCCATCGGTCTAGCTTGGGAAGCGGCTTCAATAGGTTTGCTTATCCGCAGCGACGCCGCCCACACCCGACGCCGCGGTGGTTCCGTGTCCGGGGCGCGTGCGCAATGTCGGAAAGGTCCCTCAATCTGATCTCGATACTCGGGCCTCGTAAGTGCGTCACGTGTGATCGTAACCGCCCTGTGTGCTCGACTAACAACTGATCCTACAAGCGTTTCTTAAGTACTTTACATTTAGAATCGTTTGTAATGCCATAAATTAGCTCATATAAAAATTATAGTTATTATTAAAGAAACTTATATGAGTAGCACTTCGAGTATTGAATATATTTAATAAATTATACTTGATACTTCAAGAGACGTTATAATGGATCTTTCCCCTCTCAAATTTTGGTACATTATTTAATATATATGAAACGAATGAAGTACCAAAATTTTGCACTCAATCAAATATCATCCGCTAATTCGAAATGTATGTAAATTCTAGGTAGAGCACGAGCGAGACCAGATAGACTGGAAGAGGAGGAGTACTATCCGCGCGAGTATCAACGCTACCCGCGCGATTATCCGCGCGACTACGAGGGCTACGCTCACGAGTACTCGCACGACCCGTACGAGCGTGAGGCGTACGGCCATGACTACACGCGCGACTACGGCCGGGAGTACGCGCGGGAGGCCTACCCGCCGCGCGAGGAGCGCCGCCCGCGCGACCGCGACGCCTCCGACGACTATGGCTCTTCCCGTCGCGCGCTCAACGCCGTGTAACTCTCGCGACATATTTCTGCTCCGCATTGTATCTCTACCTTGTCTCTTAACCGCCTTCAAAATGTCCGCTTCTAACATTTTAATATTCTAACTCCAATTAATTTTGATTTTCTTGTGTTAAAGAAAATATGGAATTGGACTTTTTAATGTTTTGTACACATTAGAACTGATTCCTACATATAAAATTAATTCCAAAATATTACATTACAATATTTCAAATTACTTGGCGGAAGCACTGCCGTGTCTCCGCCGTCGTAGGGACTCCATTGAAGGCGGTTGAACATTTTTATCTTATTCATACATTCTTCGATATTGCCAGTGAAACTAGTGAGAGGTCGCGTCCGTGTATTTTAGGGCCGTCCACATTAGTGAATTTTAGTAACTGGCCCCAAATAAATAGACTATATGAATATATATATTATGTATATTTTATCGATACACCGTATCATCGATATCGATTTGTTCCATATTACATTATCGAATTGTTTTGCAACTAATATTAAAACAAAATCGATTCGATATCGATTATAATGTGTATATGCGTGTGCACTTTTGAATTTTAGCGCTTAAGAACCCGGTCGAATGGTGGCTTTTGGTAGGATACAGTGCGGACCGCACTCGGTGCTTGGAGACCGGCCGTGAGTTCCCAGTGTTGAAGTAAGCGCCGGACTCTTTATTATTGCTGAGCTTAGTGGCACGCTTTTGCGAAAGGAGTGTACGGACAGACCCTTAGATAAATTGACTTTCTACAAACGATATCGCTAATAGAAATCCGTATATGGGAATGACATTTAACACCATTTGCATACGTTTTGTATCTTTTTATTGGCGGTAGCGATTGTATAATTTCGTCTTGTCTGAGCCCCCTGGCTTTGTGTTCCCGGTTTCTACTTAAAGATGTATCACTAAAACAAACTTAGTACCGTCGAACTTGACTCGTGTGGATATTTTCTTACAGCACCATTTTAGAATTTCACTATTTTAGCTTTAAACCTATTGACTTGTGATAGTGGTATGTCTTTATGGTATTGATAAGATACTATTATTATAAAAATATTTTCTTCTTATTCGTTAAAACGAATTGTGTAAAATCGATTTTAGTTATGTGAAAATTCAACATAAATTGTATCGATTATACAGACCAAAAAGATAATAGTGAAGACGTAGAAATAAGTGAAAATAAAACTGGCTGTCATGAATCGAGTTTTAACAAATTTTAATTTTGCTCGTGCAAATTATGTTGACAGTTCACATATTATTTAAGGATCAAAACAATGAAATTATTAGGCTTTTATTATTGCAATATATAAGCTATCGATACTTTATTTTTAATTACCTAATTCTTGCTTAGATTCAATCGATTTACGAAACCCCTTGAAAGATATATGCGTGGATGAATGTTTTAAGGCCACTGTACGTAAGCTCGCTGAAATGTAAAAAATATAATTTAGTGCCGTTAGATATTATATGTTTCCCATTTTTGAACATACATACTCTTGTAATTATAATGCATCGTCTGTACTTCATTGTTGCAATCATTTGTAAATAAAATACTTTATATCGATTTCGATTGTTTTATTAATTTTAAATAAACCTATATTTTCGAATTTTTTCGCGTATTTATTTGGATTTTTGATTTCCGACGAGAAACCGTCTCTCTCATGACCATAATTGCTGTAAAATTATAATTTTTTAAATATCAAATATTCGCGTAAATCTAAGAAAGTATTTATTGTTTTATTACTGTTATTATACTCGTAGTAATTGAATGCCCACTAAATATGTGTCACTGATTTTAACACAAATTAGGTATAAGAAAGCTTCCTTAATTTGCTTCATTTATGTCCTAACATATTTATTTATTATTTATTTATCTAAGCGATGTGTTATGTATTTTAAAATTTCTATTCGCAAGCGACTGTAGAATATCATTCATCAAAAATTTTTAAGAATAAAATATAGCGCTTTATATCATTTTCATATTTATTAATTTTCATTAACGATAAATATTAAAGGTAAAAGGGGAGACAATGAAAATCAAATATAGTTTAGAATAAAACATATTTATTACAGGCGATATATCCGAGCAATGCCCGCTAATAAATTAAACATCACAATATATAACAGACTCAGACTAAAATAATAAGATAGTCAGAGCGTATAGAACAATGGAAGTGAAGCCAAATATTATTAAAGTGCATGCTTTTCATTTCATAAGTATCAGAACCCAGGTCCTTTAAGTTGACTTTGAGTCCGTCGAGTTTCTCACCGGCTCTTCTCAGCAGAACTGCTTTCTAAGCTAAGCAGGTAGCTTCCTCATGGATATATGATACTGACATTTAATTTAAATATAAAAAAATACAACTAAAAGTGCTTGGGAAAGTCTATTTGAATAACCTATGTTTGGAGATTGAATTTGATACCACTCGAAATAATCAGTGTTAACCATACACTTGTTAGTGACCCATAAAATAAGGTGTTGGATGCTGTTAACATTTTCTCAAAGCACAGATTTCCGTTTCCGTTTTCTCGCCGCCCGTTTAGTCGTAGTGTCTGTGTACTCACAACGATATGTGTTTGATCTAAGTATATGGATAAAATAGCATTTTGAGCCACGATCAGTATTCTTTACGCTCTATCCTATTGTTTTAGTCTAAGATAACAGATAAATACTATACCATATGCCTCTTTGGTCTCTAAACTAATCAACTATTTACAAGCGGTTCTTTCAAAGTACACAATTCATTTAAAGCAATACTGTATAAATACTGTGCACTTTTTGATAGGGTTTTATGTTTTGCAATAAGACTAGACCGAGATAAATTTATTTCTGATATAATTCTAACTGTTTGTCTGTGGCTAATATATAACATAAGTTCAATAACTTTGCTAATGAATGAAACTACCGTTTTAAAAATTATAGATAATTATATTTTTTTATCTAGAAATAAAATTATCTGTATTATTTATATGTAAATATTTTATTTACATATGTATACTTGAAATAAAACACGAGTAGTTCCAATCACAAGCTCTATCCAATTTACTTAACCTCATCAAAATCTATACAACATATTTTATAGGTTTCATACAGACAGATGTATCGGTTTTACAATATTATCTTAAACAATATCGCACTACACAAATACTTTAGTCCTTTAGTTCAAACCTCTTTGGTTTCACAACACCCTGTCCGTCCTTATATACACTGTACACTTATTTACAACCCAGTTAATCCAAATCATATATAAAGATAGTCGTTTTTAGTCTCTCTATAGTTAATACTGGGAAATGTGTATACTGGATTATATTTTTTGTCATCAGCCTCCAAGGATAAGGCGGATAGAGCTCGGGATGGCTCCTCTTCCGTATCCGGGAGGGGTTGGGGGAGAGATCGTGGGGGTAGTGGGGGTGCGCGGGGGTTCCGTCGCACTCGGAAGTGACAATCGCTGTCATGAGGCCATGCTCGTTGAACCATCAGTGGGAGGTCGTCTGGATGCAATTTACGCTCATACTCTTGCGATGGACAGACCTGAAATTGATTATTTGGTCAATTAGAATTATTATTAGAAAAATATGTACTTATTATACTAAATACGAGTATGTAGGTTTACTTCTCGTAGTCATTTTCAAATTTTAGTTTGTTTTCATCACAAACATATTCTAATGAGAAATTTCTAAAAAGTCCATCAATCAGCAACCTTTGTAACAAAAATAGCGAATTATTATATAACTAGTGACGAACCCGAGCAAAGCGAGGGTGAGGTTAATTCGCCATTCAAAGTTTCATACCCATTTTCAACCCCTTAAGGGATGGTTTTCGGGATAAAAACTATCCTATGTCCTTCTCAGGATCTCAAAATATCTTCTTACTTAATTTTATCTAAATCAGTCTAGTAGTTTTGGAGCTTACTCGGTACAAACAAACAAACAAAAAATCTTTCCTCAATATTAAGTATAGTTAATAACACAATAAATCAGATATATGTATTACACTAAAATAACGTAAAAATTAATAATTACCTCGTAAAGCGAAAATCTCTCCACGCCCTCAGTAGAATCGTAGCAATGTAGCAATATTGCCAGCAGCTCATCAGCGGTGGTGCGCTCGCTGGTGAGAAGACACTTGTACTTGGATGAGGACATTAGTGCCGAGTCGTAGATCTTCACGAGGCCACCCGGACGCATTTGCAAGGAAAATCTGTAAAAAAATTAATACGTAAGTAAAAAATCTGTTTTAAGTTAAGTTTTTTTTTTTGGTGAGTAAATTTAATATAGTTAGCTACAAATAATCTTACTACAGGTCCTAAAGTTTGACACTTGTTAAGGAAAAATACCTATTTTGTGAAGGTGAAAGGTATTCTTAGATATAATATTATAATTGGCCAATATACTCGTATGTAGATAAAGTGCAAAAACACCAGCTGTATTTAAATTTATTAGCATTCATTTTTTTTTATTTCTAATTTATTTTCTAAATAAATATTTATAATATCCAATTCATTAATTAGACACGAACGATTTGACAAACTCGATAGTCGCTAGCGAGCGCTCAGAGAATAGACCCGTAGTAAAGTAGGATATTTTACAACGAGTTTATTCTGTAAAACACTGTAAATTTTGATCTGATGTGATTTTAACGATCTAGTTTGAGTTATCTTGAAATTTATGCTATTCGGTGTGTTGTTGTGTCTCGTAAATCTGTAATAGATTAGTCGTAATTACCCGCGACCACTCCGCAGCGTGCTTTCATGGTTTCTTTATGGTATCTATCTATAGACAGTAGACATTATTTCAAAAATTTGTATAGAAATATTTATCCGGCGGACGTCAATTAATTAAAAAATATATTATTAATTAGATACAGAAGTATAGAAAAATGAGAAATGTAAACAAAAAGGAAGTTTTAAAATAATATATGACATTTTCCATATGGTTAGGCTTTTTAAGTGTCTTTAAGTTCAACAAAAACAGAATAATATAAAATATGTATAAACTATACTAAACATCTAAACTTTAATTCCTGCAAGAAGTAACTATTTCCTACTCTTCAAACATTTTTTTTTAATTAATATATTCAATTATATTACTAACCCAAGAGATTTTTATAGGAAAATATTAAAATAATAACAAATTTGAACAAGATTTATTAATGAACTAGCATTGCCCGTGGCTCCGCCCGCGTTTAGTTGACCAAAAACCAAATTCTTAGGTTTAGTATACTCTTACAATGCAGTTTTTGTATTTTTTCTTAGAAATGAGATATTTTCCCGCGGTAAAAAGTATCCTAAATGTTGACCCGGATAACCAGCTATCACCATACCAAATTTCATCAAAATGCCTCCAGTGGTTTTTCTGTGATGCGGTAACAGACAGATAGACAAACAAAAATTCTAGAAACTATAGATTCGGCCTCTGTATCGATAATGATGTTTATTTCAATAAGATTATCCAAAAAATATTCAATGTACTGATTCGGCTTATTTACAATTTTATTATATGCATAGATAACTCCATATATAACTACCAAGATAAAAGTACCTATATCTTTAATATATGGAAAAACTTGTTTAATTAGCGTCATATTAAAATTATGTTTTTACATTTGTTTACAGTCTCATTAAATGTAAAATTTTATAACCACAAGTATCCAGGAAGCTGTGCATCATAAAAAGCCTGATTACCTTGCAGATATCCTCTCCGTATACGAACAAAAAATTTACAAGTAGAATATCTAGGTTATACATAAAAACACATGTCATAAAATTTAAAATGAATTGAAGATCTTAATATTACATATGTACGTACTGTCTTACTGTAAGTCAGAAACTTCGACAGCTCTTTGGAAAAATAGCCTTAATTTCTAGAAAATGGTGGAAATACTTGGGACTTAAGACAAACGGTCACTTGGGTGATATATTTATATTTAGATATTACTTTCATCTCATCCATATTATGTATATCAATTTTTTATTATATTTGGTGATCCATTTCAACACTTCTTCCTTTGAGAGTAATTAAAATAGAGAGTAAACAAGCTCTTTAACCAAGGCTTGACATAAATAGAGCAAGCCGTTATATTACTTATAGTAAGTAAACAAACCCAAGTGTCCTACGTAACGCGATACATTTGCTCAATAAAGGGCCAGCTTTTTACAGTTTTTATTGCCAGCTATGTTTGAACGCCAGGAATAGACACCGGAAGGGGAGACGGCTACACAAAAGCGACTCACGTTAGCCGGTGGTCTATATTTTAACAAGCTTTTTTCTCTAGTTTGCCGACTGTACGATTTATAGGTGAGATGATGGATTCAGCTTAAATTTCATAAGAAAAATTATTTTATGCCTAGCTTTAAAAATACAGCCTTGCAGTATAGATATATGAAAGAAACCAGCAAAATAAACACACACCAATCGTATTTACACACATTTATCTTGAATTAAGTCAGTTTTACTAACTTGAAAAATATTTTTCTGAGATGCAACGTAATGGTGGCTTAAGTTTTCAAAGCTTTTCCGAAAAGAATTGATCAATTAAGGACACTAGATATTAAATGGAAATTGTCCATAGCGTGCTAACATCGAGGTCGAGATTGTTTAATTAATGTTATTAGTAGCATTGTTTCATATTAGGACACGAGTACAATGATTTTAGTCATACCGCAATATCGTGCCTAAAAATAATAGTTTATAGATAGAACAAGATACTTCCAAGTAAATGATATTTTTTTTGTTAATTTCGTTTTCGCCTTAAAATATTATTTAAAAATCATTAACTACGAAAGTAATCGAACATGTGACTACAATAAGCATTGCTGCTACTGAGCTAGATGAGTTTTTTAATATTTAATTTTAACAAATTATTTATAATTCAATACAAATGAATCTAAAACAAAATAATGTGAGAAATGTAATTTAAATAGTAGTACGTTATATCAATAAACAGACTTTGGTACTTATTATATAGGTTTTCATAACTCGAATGAACCAAAACAAACAGATCGACAGTTCAAAATAACATATACATAATAAAGTCAAATAATTAAAAATTTTAAAAATCAAAAAGAAAGTCGGTCGTATCCTGCGAATGATTAATAGTTACACCGTCCTTTGGTGAGACGAAAATATGTGATCGGAAATAATGTTGTCGTTCTACTGTTAGAATATATAAGCGATTTATTTATTCGGCACATAGTTTTATATATATGCTATATATTGGAGGCAAACAATGTCTTCGAGGGGATTTCCCATCGGTAATACCACGGTAATATTACATATTACATTACCGTGGTAATACACACGTTAATTATAATTTACCTGCACACAAAGTTTTATTCCCTCTTCAAACAGCCTTAGCTGCACGAGCGTTAGAAATGTATTAAATAAGTATTTACTACTAGTTGTGGCTTCCAACGTTAATACGATTGTTTCGTAGATGTTGTGGCTAGTAGATACGGATACAGATCCTGAGGTCCTAGGTTCGAGTCTTCGAGTCAAACCCAAATTAGACTCACTATTGATTTTCTAACAAGTAATTATTAGTAACACCTCGGCGTTGGACATTCGTGACGAATTGTGGTGACACCGAGATTTATAAGGGAATGGAATAGAGTGTGCATTTCTGTTTGCACACACACTTGTGCTCTATAGTATCTTCTGGGCAAATGGCTTATCCCAGATTGGCTAAAGTTAAATTACTTCGCTAATGTTACATAAAATGGAGACTATCAATACAGAAGTTTTACTTTATTTTTCTTAGACAAAAAGATGGCATTTCTTACATATCTATTAAGCTACGTATAAATAATTTTAATTTTAGAATAAAACACTTACTTAGAATATCCCTTCGGATGACAAGCCTGGAGCGCGGCAGGTCTTGCATCATCATCCAGTACCAATGTGGTCCTGAGACCAGCAGCCCTGACCCTAACTTCCATACTCAGGTAAAACAATCTGGGGTCTCTATGGCGCATCCTGAACTTCCCCAAAAGAGTGGACACCACTTCCTTCGCTCGAGTCCCCCAAGTGACAGACAGGGTCTTGTATTCGATATCTGGCCGTAAACATCTCGCGTACACTTTAATCGTTGTCTGAAAAGAAATTAAATAATTGTAAATTAAAAAATATATATCTTATAAACACAAAAATACAGTTTTGAGAGCATTTGGATTAAATGATTTATTATATTATAATTCACTAAATTTGATAAAAAACAAATATTCTATTCACCATTCCTAATGACAGTATCGATATTGACTTACGCACTGCTAGCCAATGTCTGTCTACACAATTTCATAGTATGTTATCCTATGGCGAATAACGACACTTTTGGCTCAGTTTGTAGTGAGTAGTGACCCTACTTGCTGTGCCAGCGGTCGCGGGTTTGAGTCCCGCTGGGGATATTCATTTGTGTAATGAGCACGAATATTTGTGCTCCAGTTATGGGTGTTTATATTTATAATATGTATGTATATATTTATAATGTGTAAGTATGTATTTAAAGTCATATCTGGTATCCATAACACAAGCCTCGTAGCTTACCATGGAGCTAGATGATGCTGTGTGTTAATGTCTCAACATATATATTTATTTATGAGAAAAACGAAGAAAGACATAACAAAACCATGCATAAAAAATATAAGGCAACAGCTGTGTAATGTATAAGAAATGCAAGTTACGTACATATTAAATCAAGCCCTTCAAATTAACCCTTCTACAGGAAATTAGTAATCGATTTGAACTATGTAACTATATAATGTTTAACTCATCAAGCTATTATGTTACAAATATGGAAAATATAACATTACTATTTAACTACAAAGATACACTGACATCAAAGTTACTTTGAGAGTAATAATCCAACTTTTAAGGGTGGTTTTTTTTAATTTTTATAAATATACCATACGTTTTAATGTTTACTATAGAATCCTCAGAGACGAGATGCTTTATCGCAGTAAAAAATATCCTATACGTTCACCCGGTTAACCAGCTATCATCATAGCAAATTTCATCAAAATCTATCCAGTGATGTTCTCGTGATGCGTTCCCAGACAAACAGACAAACAAACAAAATTCTAAAAGCTATATTGGCCTCTGTATCTATAATAATGACTATTTCAATAAGATTTTCCAAAAAAATATTTATTGTACAGATTCGACTCAGAATTTTATTATATGTATAGAAGATAGATTACAAGTTACAGAGTGCAGATTATGAGGACAAACAGCAATTTATACGTCACAGTACGCCATTGTCATTTATACCGCGAATTCTATTGTTTAGTTTGGGAAATTCAAACACAACGAATGCGAGTACTTTTAACCTTCACCAGCATTCTAAGTAGGAGTTTACACATTATTTTTACACATCATCATCCAAAAATCGAAATTATTGCAGTATTATTATAAACGCTCAATAAAATGTACCAATAGAGAATTCTTATTGCTAATTAATAATTATATAATAAATAAATCTATACATATAATAAAATTGTAACTAAGCCGAATCTGTACATTGAATATTTTTTTGAAAGTCTTATTGAAATAGACATTAATATCGATACTGAGGCCGAATCTATACTTTTTAGAATTTTTGTCTGTCTGTCTGTTACCGCATCACGGAAAAACCTCTGAAGGGATTTTGATGAAATTTGGTATGATGATAGCTGGTTATCCGGGTCAATATATAGGATACTTTTTACCGCGGGAAAATATCTCATTTCTGAGAAAAAATACAAAAACTGCAATGTAAGAGTATACTAATATGTAAATAACCTAAGAATTTGGTTTTTCGGTTATCTGACCGCGGGCGGGCCGCGGGCAATGCTACCTATAATATATACATATATACACAAAGATAAAACCGTTCAGTGCCTTTTTCTCCTTTAATTTAGTATCTGTTGACAAGCTTTACATCTATGAATAAAAAGCTTTAGAAACGTTTAGTTAGCTTTTTATGCAATCATTAATGATTATGGTCAAATTTCGACCGATGGACGAACACTGATAGAATAAAAACGACGATAACATATCAGGTACTATTAGATATGTATGTATAATTAGTGCAAGAGTGTACATATTGTATAGGTATACCCTTGTACTTAAAGGGAGCTTTTATAATCTTATATAAGCTTTTACATTCAACAATTATCAATATTTTGTCAAAAGTACAAACTAACAAGCTCGCGTTAAGCTTCACAGGAACAGAACTTGGTATTGCGGTTTCCTTTCCAGTCGGACAGGATTCACCGCAAATCCTGAGGATATATTCGAAACAGTACACTTTGTTTACGAACTATCAATGTACTAGTAAAATGTCGATTTTTCTGTTTTATTAATTAAAATCAATTCTGCAAATTTAGTGCTTTCATTTTTAATTTTATTTGATTTATGAAGTCTTTCTAAATGATATTTCGTAGACGTTTTCCTATTTACGTAAATATTGTATAAACAACAATATACGCGTAAATGAAATTATAATAAAAATTGATAAAATAATCTTAGTAATATATATATAGGTTTTTATGGTAAAAATAGCTAATAAACCCATAAATAAAACCAATCACCCAAAAGCTCACAACACATTAAAATTACAAACTTACATACATAAAAAAAACATCAAACGGAAATACATTGAAATTCCACGATATAAAACGTAATTTACAACACGGTTACCGGCTAATAAAATTATTACTCGTCGTATCAGAATGCAAGGATTGCAGAAAATCAAGTTCCCACGCAACTTGCGATCGCTCAAAAAACACGAGAACGGTCGGCAAATTATTTTTTAGGAAGTTTTATAATATATTAAGCACAAAATGATGAAACTCACGTGTATGTTATGGGGGTGGAAAGCTAGTTTCTTTCGAGGAGCGGGCACCGGCGCAGGCGCAGACATGACGCGTACGTTCTAAGGCCGCGCGAGTGATACTAAAGTCAGCGAGAGTGTAGTGCGGAACTACGCCCTACTGTCACGGAAGCTAAGGGAACACCTGCTCCCCATTAAATGACAGGAAACCCATGGATTCATGTTGTATCGATCGATAGTGTTTTCATGGGGACTTCACACGGGAAATCAAAATAGTTATAATAATGTTCTATAATTAAAATTTAAAAAAAGTGATTGATTTGTTTCGATTTTTTGTACTAATTTGATTATGTTTTTGATTTAAATACTTACTTTTAACGTAATTTCGTAACAATTGATAATATTGCTGCAATTGCTCAAGTAAATTAGTATTAATATATAAATAAACTAGCAGAACCCGCGGCTACGCCCGCGTTCAATCTACAAAGAAAACTCTTTGGCTTTATGTTATTTATATAAAATATACCGACTTACCCCCGATTTCGCTCGGTTTCGTATTTATGCATTTATATAATATTGTTCATAAAAAAACTAAAATCGCGATTAAGGAATGGAGGGTGGGAGTAGGAGGGTGAAAAATACTTACCTATTCTCATATAAAAATCAATCTCATATAAAAAAATCATTAAAATCGGTCGAGCCGTTTTGGAGGAGTGCGACCACAAACACCGTGACACGAGATATTTATATATTAGATAAAATATTTATTAAAGAAATACATGCCCTTCAACTAAATAAAATAATCGTTTCCGATAAAAGAAAGTGTCGGTAAAAGTGGTCATCTCAGACCCAGAGTCAGCGGGCAGCGACCGGTAGGAAGTGAAAAAGTGACACCGGAACACTGTGGAATGCGTCTCACACACACACACACACAGAGATGGGCTTGTGCATGTTATTTTTGCGATAGGATGAGTTTTCTTTATAAACTACACTAGTTTTTCCTGCGTCTTTGCGTATATTTCATGCAATTTAATTAATTATACAATATTTCTATTAGATATCGATAAGGTGTGTTTGTTTGTTTGTTTGTTTGTTTGTTAGTTTGTCTGTCTGTGTCATTATCTCTGAGTAACATACACAATTTTTAATAATACTACACATGCTATTCGCTGCAGCGAAATTAAATTAATTTAAAAAAATCAGCATTAAATGATTACCTACATTTTTTACTGAACGTCATAAATCTATCAGCAGTTCGGAAAAAACTCGATAGTGATAGGGCTAATTTTTTTTAGATTAATGAATCAGATTTGTAAAGTATGTTAATGTATTAGATTTATAAAACTTTAAAAGGTTTACAAGCAAAGCTGAAAGCGGCAAGTATATCGAAATGGCTGGAAATTTCCTTCCTGAGATAACATTGTATACATACAAGATGTCTTAAGCTAGTAATTTGAATAAAAAAGTATAATAAAAACAACAATTTTGTATTTTCTTGGTATATTAATACAAAATCTAATAAAATTCTAACTGAATCGAATCTGTACATTAAATATTTTTCACAAAATCTTATTGAAATAGTCATTATTAATGTTACAGAGCCGAATTTATAGTTTTAAGAATTTTTGTCTGTCTAGAAATGCATCACAAAAAAACCTCTGGACAGATTTTGATGAAATTTGGTATGATGATAGCTGGTCATTCGGGTTAACATATAGGATACTTTTTACTACGGGAAAATATCTCATCTCTGAGAAAATAAAATAATATAATTTAAAGCGAATTTATGAGGACATCTGCTAGTAATATTCGTAGCTATTTGTAATAATTTATAATACTACTTTAAACAAAGCCCTTACTTGTTTATTGTGTTTTATAAATATTATGTAACCTACTTTTAAAGATAACCTTTAGTGTGCATATTAAGATATAACTTATAATAAATATTTGAACTGATCTAAGTTATTAGACGAACTTTGTCACTTATTTGACATACAAATACGAGTATGTAGAGCTCTTTATACGAAAATATGCTCTACAAACGATTTTCTATACTATACTGTATATATTTTTTTGTTTTATTTAGTTACTGTTAGATCTCATGTTCGATTCCTGGCTGTAACATTCTTCTGACCTTTATTTTTCGTATATAAAAATATATATTATTCTTTTTGAAAAGTAAACATAGGTGTTTTGTTTAAAATCTTAAATACACTTATATATTAAGATTCTAAAGATATGGAATAAATTCAAAAACAAAAAACTCACAGGTTCAAAAAAATG